CATGATAAGTACGTAAGTGACTGTTTGTCTTGCTTCAGTTTAACCAAACATAAGACTGATGTCATCCATTGTACGAACAAATGATCCCAACCTTTCCGTTAAGGAGTTAATTGCATCTAGACTGCGATATGCATTTACTGCCATCTCTCGTGTACACGCACGCAGCATCAATCAGAGCCGTCCGGAAGACTACTTTTAAATTTCTTTGTAAGTTTGCGCCTCAGTCATATTTAAAGGGTAATTCCAAAAACCGTTTATTTAAAAAAAAATTAATACCGCAACTGTTGCGTTTTCGCTAGACTTAAAAAGTACACGATTGTTTTGACAGATCTGAGATTTAAAAATGGCGCTACCGGAAATGCTTCAGGACCAGACATGCGCAGTAGCGTTCCAACGCCTTTGTTATTGTTTATGTCTTTGAAATGGTCTATAGCATATTTATTGTCATGTGAGACGTAAATTCCAGAAAATTTAGTAAAAATGTTCAGAATTGTTGCTTTATTTCTTTTGGTCAATTTAGTTTGAAATCTCAAGTGATTTCTTAGAAATATCTGATTGAACCCTATAAAACCACTTGGTATGTATAATAAACTAGAGTATTGTGAAGAAACTGAATGGTGTTTGCTTGTGCAAAATCCCCTCCATAGTGCTGGAGTGTGGGTGGTTGCCAGGGCATTTGTTAAGGTGTTCTAAGTGCTTCTGGTGCGTAATGTGGTTGCTAGGGCATTTTATTTACTGGCAAAGCCCCAAGGCTCTGATATTTTGGTCTCCGATTAGGGCTGTCGCGATAACCGCAATATCGCAATACCGCGCTATTGACGAGCAAACCGCAGAGGAATGCAAGAACCGCAGCAACCGCGATTTTTGCGCATTTTATTTTTTCGTAAGGTTATGCCCTTCTCGTTTTACACTTCATGCATGTGGACTGAATATTAAACAAGTTAGTAATGATAACATAATGTGTACCATGCTGATTTGTACAGAGGCTCCGTAGATTTGCACTTAACAAGCCTAAACAGACAGTGAATGAGAGAGAGATCGACTGAGCTCGTGCGATTACTTGCGTCTGTCCTCCAGGCCGAGTCATATATATTTGTGAAAATAGGTTGTCATGTCTAAGGAAAGCGAAATCTCTGTCTTAGCATCGACGCATAGCTGGTCAGCTGAGCCTTCTAAAGTGGCGCTCAAAGTTAAAATGATTTCAACAGCATGTTTCATTACGTCTCTTTGAATGAATGAATCAGTGTTTTTGAACGAGTAGTTGAATGACAGTCCCTTTCCACCACCTTGTGGTGCAACACTGTAACTGCACTGACTGACAGCCCGTCTAGAACGCGCGCAGGTGGAAATATCAATAGAAAGTCTCTTGTCTAGTCAGATTAGAAAATCAGATTACAACTAGGGCTAACGATAGCCTAACGATCTTATTGTCAGGTTTATGTTCTGTTATGTGGACCGTTATTTTGTCATTCTCTTCTGTTTACTTCACTTTCTGTTTCAACGCTATTTGGTTTAGGTTTCATTGTCTTCTGAATATGGCCTCGTTAGTTATATCGTTACACATACACGCACAAATTATATATATATATATGTATATGTGTGTGTGTGTGTGTGTGTGCATATATATATATATGTATATGTATGTATATATATATATATATATATATATATATATATTATGTATGTACGGAAATTCTACGTGGCCATGCAATACTATTTTTTTTCCTTCTCGTTTTCTCGTTATAACGACTTAATTTTCTCGTGATATCGACAT